CTTAGTTTCCGTACTAGATGCATCTAATTGTATCTGATCTACATCAACTGAAGGTTTTTTAAGTGCCAGTTCAACTATTTTTCGTGATCGGGACATTTTCAACTAGGCAACAAAATTGAAGAATTAATATAAGTACCTCGTAACTCTATAAATCGCTGTACAATTAAGTAAAATGACATAATGAAAAACCTCGTAACTCCATGAGAAAATAAACAGCAAAAATTCGTTATTATTATTATAACAATTTGTACATTTTTATAACAATTTCAAACATTAGACATACCTAATACAGCAGGATAACTATGGCAACGCACACTTATGAAAATACCGCCAAAAAGAGCAAACAAACATCAAGACAGTCTGCACCCTACCATTTTAATGTAAACTTGTGGAGTTACGAGTGTTTATTAGTCAGCGGCATTCACAGAGGAGTTACGAGGTTTTCTTGCTAGCTGCCAATTTAAATATGAAATTTTTTGGAGTTGCGAGAGTTTCTTAAATTATAGATGATACTAATAGCTACTAGATGGCATGAATATCTCATTTTCGTATTTTTTTGGAGTTACGAGGTATTCTTGTGTCACCGACGATATCCCCTTTACCAGTTACGACAGCTAAGAATCGCAAATCTACCAAAAGAAAAGGAATATATGGACATTTGAACACAACCCCTGAATTACAAGCAATGAAGGATAACATAGCAGAAAAGGCTGCCAAACTACAAAGAAAATCGGCGAGACAAGTGAAAAAGCGTATCCTAGTTGAAAATTCAGATGAACAAAATAAAAATGATGGAGATCCATTTAGTGGTGATGAAGAGGAGGACGACGTAGCGTGCATATACTGTAATGACCTATATTCCCGGTCCCGCTCAAAAGAAATGTGGATTAGGTGTATGGTATGCGACCAGTGGTGTCATGCAGAATGTGCTGGTACAGACAGAAGAGTGCTGCTTCATCTGTGACATTTGTAAAACTTAATTTTGCAAGTATGCCATCTCATACGGACATTATGGATGAGATGGCATCTGTTAGGTTTACATTATTTAATTAAAAGTGCCGAAATAGATTGAGTATACCTTGTAATGAATTGAAATGTATTAGGTTTACCCATTATATTGTTTAAAACGTCATGGTTTATCTTTTTAACATCAATATTGTAATAGTTACAACCTGTTTAAAAAAAGTATGCCATCTCATACACAACTCCCCTACATCTGGGGGTTTATTTTAGGCGGAGCAGCCGGTAGGACTATAATAACCAGCACGGCTGTCGAACGTTCGTTTTGTCTTGAGCATTAACCCTGGGGGAGGTGGAGTTGTTTTCGTGTATATCGCTGTTGGGAGAAACGAGAGATAGAGGACCGATTACCTCTACGTGAGATTGAGGACATCGTAGAACCTTTGGAGTTCGTGCCGATCACATAGTCAACCGCTGTACGTGGAGATCGTGGCGAGGTGTTGGAGGAACGTCGAGTACCCACAGCGAAGTGTCACTAATGTCTGTCGAAGTTACGTACCGATTGATTGGGAGGACCTTAGAACATTCTTGTTGTTATGAAATTTGACGTTCACGATGAATTATTGTTAACAGAGAATCTTAGAGATTCTGTCGAATTTGGGGAGACCCCTTTTGTTAACAATTAGTTGAAGACATTTCGTTGCAAAGAAATTACTTGTGAGGGAAGCAATAATTGTTGTTAGACGTAAACTGGTGGGAAGCCTTGTGCTACTGTTAACGTAAGTTAGTTGAAATTCAGTAAATTCAAATTATAGCCGAATAATAGCAGGTCCCGACAATCGAGTGGGTTTGGTCAGATCGAGGCCTACGATACTCAGGTATCGTAGGCCTCGGTCAGATACAGTTTTGTGATCTTGTTACTTTAGTTGTTTTATGGGGTGGGAGCCAGCTTGACTGGTAAATGTTAATTAACTCAAAGGGGATAATTATAACGGTTTTTTGTTTCGGTTTTTAGGATTAAAAGTTGAAGTTGTTCTTCTGGAAACTGTGATATTTGTGCGGTCTTAAATATTGGGGATCCTTATTTATTATTGTTAGAGGTGTGTAGTCAAATTGGGGACTGAGTTGTCGCTGGAGTCTTACCATCTACGGCCCAGCTTCCGTTAAATTCAGTAGCGGAGTGCAGTGTAGAGCTGGTGGCGCCCATAATCTTCGAGTTATCTTGTATATGAGGTATTTTAGGTTCTAACCAACTAGGAACCCGGCCCGTCTTCACTGAGCTAGAGAGGGGTACGCTGCTGATACATAATTCTGAAGGCGACAACGAGGGAACTAGAAAGGTAGCGCCAACAAATCTGTTAATGGATGGAATTGGCGGGTTTATTTGCAAGTCTTGCCTGGACGAGGATGCAGTTGGCGATATTGATGAAGATGAACAAGGAATCGGACTATAATTTTGTACAGCTGATCAAATCGCAGCAGAAGTGCTTCCCGATGATAAAATCCCTGCAGTTTTTTCTTGTCCATGTAGTGACTGCTCCACGTATCCTTCTGCCACTGCTGCAGATTTCCATCCACCCATGCGCTTCAGCTGTAAAATATCGCCTCCTGCATTCACCAATAAAGTTGCTGCAGTACGTCGGAAGCAATGCCCGGTATATTTATCGCAATCTTTTAAATTTAAATATGTAGCAATTTTTTTAGGGAATTACGATATGGTATTGTGCCCTAACGGTTATCATTATATACCGAATAGCGTGGTGTGAAGTTCGTAAAAACATGTCTGATCTATTATTCATGTTGTGACGTAACAATAGGCAGTTATGACAATACAGTGTGCTCGTGGAGTCTTTACCTCGGTGAAGTAAATATGATGTAGACCAAATACTTGCTATAATAAGTACATAACTACAACCATAAATTTCATGTAGTGCTTTACCATGTATGATAGTATCTAAAATTATCTTAAAGACTAAATTACTACACAATTGCAACCTTTACCATAAACTTACCATCCTAGAAAACTTTGAAATACAAAAAGCACTTATGAACACCAACACAATCACCCCCAATGAAATCATCGAATTCAACACATCCCACATTTATAATTTAATATACATACACGCCACTGCTAAAAACATAACCACACTTTAAACACATTGTTGCTATTTGTTGTATTTCATTTATGTAAATTTTTTTAATTAATTATATTATTGGTTGTATGTGATGTTCAATTTTACTAATGTTATTTTCAATAGATATATTCCACATCCATAAGTAACACGCACTTCATGTTAAAATCTAAAAACGCTGCCTTTTAAACATTTGACGGTAAGCACTGTTCTAAGTTTATCAATTATAGCACAGGATATATTATAGGTAGGCCTGATGATGGCATTTCGCTGAAATCGATCGCCACAGAAAATATAAAATAAACGTTATAACAAATTCGATTTATTTACCTATCTTAAAGACCTTCATAATGAAAAAGATGCCGATCACCCCTGCACTGATATTACCAAATACTGACATCCAACCAGGCATGTAACTTATGAAATTGGAGATCAGGTCTGGCGTAAAAACAAGTCTATTTCAGACGCCACTAAGGATTATTCTGCTAAATTAGCTCCTCGATTTTTAGGCCCATTTACGATCGATCGTAAAGTGGGTTATCTCACTTACGCTTTGAGGGATGCTGATAGAAAACCCGCAGGCCTGTGGCATGTCCAAGATCTTAAGCCCTATGTTGAGCCGGAAGATCATGGTTAGGTTTGGTATTTTTAGGATTGTCTACCGTTGACGGGCGTTAGCTGTTGTTGGATTTTAACTCTTTTTGACTTTTATTATCGGATTTGACTTCATTTAGTGTTGACACTTTGTCTTCACGCAATTTTAGGGATGGCTGGATGGGGACTGCCGGTTGGTCCATTAGGGGGTTGTGCCGATCTCTCTTTCCAGGTGCAACCTTCCTGCTCGTTCACCAGAGCCCTTCTTTATGTTATCATTTCATCTCATCCTCATCTTTTCGTAGTATGAACATTGAATGATGGAGCTACGAGAAGGGTGCGAGGCCTTGTGCATCTTTCGGGATCACAAGACTCCCCCGGCTCAGTATGAACTTATGAATGCATGTGAACACGAGGAAGGAGATGACCTGTGCAAGCTTCGGTGACCACAGGCTCTCCGGAATCAGAGTGACTAAGTTTCTTTCTCTGCGAATGTGTTAATGATCATTTCTATCTCATAGCACCTCCTGTCATTTCATCGTGCTAGTACATGGTGGCAGTGAGGGGGCATCTTTTTTCTTCTGTGTTTGTCTGGGAGGGTTTCCTGTACGTCTATCCTCTATCGTACTCTTCTGGGATGGGTCGTTTTGTTTAGTTTGTTTTTGTATTTTTGGGATGGGAGTTTTTTACCGGGGGCGGAAAGGAATGCCACTTGTGGATCCTGTTGTATCTTCTTGAGTGAGCTTCATGGGAGTGTGAATTTTGTATGAGTCAGGGCAACAGCCTACCCACCTACCACTTTTGCTACCCTATCCTTATCCGCTTTGCTTCCTTAACTTAGTATACACCTTTATTTTATTTTTATTCCTTTCAGTTTTTGTTTGTGGAAGTTGTATTGTTTCATGATACACTTTCTTTGGCTTGTTTTTTTTTGGTTTTTCACTTTTTTTTTCCTCGTACCAGCCGAATGCTGAAGAACTCTTGGAAGGCGTGAAGAGTTTGGCTGTTGCCTAGCGAATCTAGAGCGATAGTTGTTGTGAATGAGTCACTTGTGTTGGTACGGCAGGATCGATGAGTGGGATTCCGGGTTATTTTTGTTTTTGGGTTTTCACTAGATTAGGTTGTGCTGTTTGTTGGATTTCACTTTAGTAGGTCGTCGGATAAACTTCTTGGAAGTTTCCCGCCTCTCGAAGGAGAGGGGGAGTGTAACAGTTTTATTATTATATCAACATTTTGTTCGTATTTCCATTGCAATCACCCTGTTTATAACTTTTCTATTCTGTGGTAGTCACCTTTTGTAACCTTCACATTCGTTTATTTCCGTACCTGCCCGTTTTAATGTTGTATATTCCTATTATTGGTCTAAAAGCCAATTTCCGCTTTAGATAACCTATGTAATTTGATACCGTAACCATATATGGTATTGTAAGCTTCGATTGACCGCGTTATTGGTTGGGGCAAAACTTCGTTGTTTCATTGGGGCCGGAAATGGAAAAATTCAGCGTGTATTACTTGCTAACCCGAAGAGAACGGTCGTGCGGTTCATCCTGATTTAAGTGCTAATTTAGTTCCTGTTCATTTGTTTTCAACAATTTGGCGAAAGCATCTTTAAAAACAAGTGAACCATCATTGTACCTGCCATTTCTTTTTGGGCATGGTAACCATTTATTCCGAAAGGAGTTCTTCTAAAGGAACGTAAGCATAATTGTAAGTTCTCTGTGTGTTCGAATCCACACTACCGTTATTTCTATTTTAGGGGACCATTCTGACAACGATCGTAGGATAACTTCCATTCACTTTCGTACGTTCACGAAGCTCTTTTATTTTCCGTTGACTCTCTCCATGTAGAGGTTCGCATTTATTCTTGTGTAAAAACGTACCACCCATTAGTTTATTATTTTAGAGTTCACGTATTGGGGCCAAGAACTACGATCAGACTGTTTACCTGTGAAACGAAACTATAGACCACATTGTGTTGCGGGTAAGGGGGCATAGGAAAGTAAATCGACTAAGTACTGGAGTGCAGTGTGTACGATCTAGCATCAAACCATTGAAATAACTTAATGGCCGAGTCGTACATATATTGAAGCCGCTACCTTACTTCCGACACTTTGTGTAACACTAAGAGCAGCATTTGTCATTCAACGTGCAACCATATACCAGGACCTGTGGAAAAGAAGACCTAAATATTGATCGTACGGTGATGTAGTTCTTGGGGCAAATATCTCTCCGAAACGCAGCGCTCCTTCGACAAATGACCGTACGGCACTAGTAGGAAATTCCACCTGGGGCAGATCCCGAAATTCTGCGCCTTGAGGACTTGGGCAGCACTTTGACTTATATATCCTCGAGAAATCACAACGTATCCTAACGCGATTCACTGCATCCAAAGTAAACTGGGGTGAAGCTCAAGGGTTCGCCAAAATATCACCTGATTGAAACCTGGGTCTTCTTCGCCAAAAAATCAACGCGAAAAGAAAATAACACTTCGAAACGGGTGCAAAAAGCACGCAACTGCGAGCAACCGAAATAAGCCGGTGCCTCAAACCGCCAAGTGTACCAAAACGATCGCTCAAGGTACGTGTTGACCGCTTGACGTACTCACTGCGAGTCTTTTCTAAACGCGATCACTAGGTACGTGTCGACCCCTCGACGTACTAGCCGCGAGTCTTTTCAAAAACGATCCCCTTCTTCAGAATTGAAATGAAAAAACCACACCCAAATTACCATAAAACAAAAATGGCTCCCGCTAGAAATTCTCCCATTGGTTTAGATAAAGAAGACTTAACCCACTCTAACTTCGTCGTCAACCTCAAGGAACTGCTGACTAAACTGATCTCACGGTTTTCTGCTGATGACGTGAAAACTCCTTATCTCTTGACGGTTCGGTGCTACATCCGCTCCTATTCTCGGTCTATACGGCGCCAAAGTTGATAAACGAACGACAAAAAACTCGCATTACTCATGATGACGTCAATCAGCTTTGCACTCTTCCCACGACGAAATTAAATCTATCGGACCATAGTCTTGAGCGAACCGAAATGCCCAAACACAAAATTTCTAATCGGAACAAATAATGAAATATACAGGGTGACCTGCACTATCATGACAAGAAATTTCGAAATTTTTAATGAAATTTGGCGCGAAATCAAACCACTCGTTACAAAATGCATTTGGAATCCTTGCTGCTCGATTTAGGATTTTTCACACAGTAATATTTAAAAATCCAGAAAATGTAGATAAAGTAGTACAAGCAACTGTATGCCTGCATAACTTTATAAAACAAAAGGAAGAGAATCTTTCACCTGCTCAAAGAAAATACATACCCTTAGGTTTTGCAGATTCAGAAACAGGTGGGAATATTACTTTTGGAGGTTGGCGTGAAGAAGTAACTTCAAGTTGTTCATTACGGGATATAACAGAACTTAGGAGGCTAGGGACAAGAAATGCGAAGCAAAATGCTTACTGCTACAGGGAGTGTATTAAAGATTACTTTAATTCAAATCTTGGCTCTATACCCTGGCAGAATGAGGCGATACACTGATATGGGCAATTTTATGCTAAATAAAAACACTTATTCAGTGGTTCTGGTTAGATTAAGTATATTAGTAAAGAAATTATAAATAATTTGAAAAATGTTATGTTAGAATAAATATAAGTTATAATAAGTAAGTAGAAAAATAAGATAATAAGTATCCTTAATTACATATCATCGGCGGGGAGTGTAACTTTGCGAATTTTACGCCTAGTTTTTAATAACAATGTGGTTACCTCATCCTTAAAATCTTCCATTATATTAGAAGGCATTTTTAACATTTCTTGTTCCATATTGGCACAAAAAGTATTGATATATGTATCGGACTTGGTTTCACATGAATTGTTTTGCAGCATGTCTAATGTACTGCTAAACTTTTCCTCCAACTTCCTTTTATTCCCACTGAAAGAATAGAAATAAATTAATTAGCAGGTGCATGAGTATTGCATAGTACCCAAGTGGAGTTCCTTTTTTTTCACCAAGTGTAGGTGTTTGCATCGTACGTTTACTTGACGTGGAAGGAGTAAGTAATATATTTTCAATCTCCTGTGTATTACTTGCACTTGCAGGAGAAAGGATATTTCTATCCAATTCTCGATCAGAATAGTTGTGATCGATTTCAACAAATACTGCTTCTATATCAGGTTGAGTATCCTCCATTGTTTCTTGTACTTCAAGTACAGCTGCACTAGAGCAAGATGGTGACGTTAGGCTGCTTGCCGTTCTAAAATAAACATGATATATAATATATGTCATACCTATAAAAAAATTTATACTTTCTAGGTTTGATAATTTCATCTAAAAACTTCATAAGATCGAACAAATACCATTTGTCCGTAACTATGGGTGCACCAGCCCCGCTGCGCTGATTTCTCTCATTATCTCGCTTTATTCTAATGTATTTCTCACGCAACGATTTGAAATGCTTTTGTGCATCTTCACCTATTAATAAATTAATTAAATACATCTTATAGCTTGAAAATTTTGGGTACTTTACCAGAAATTCTGCACTCTGCACCAATCTCTTGCCATGCGTTCTGCTTTTTTATTGAGTTTTTAAATAAAGAATTTGATTTGTCATACAAAAACGGTCGATCCATTACTAAGTTTATGAACTTTTCGTCGCCCATGGCTGGTATACTTATTTTCAGACACAACCTTGTACTAAAGTCTAAACGTAAACAATTCAAAAATCAAAAGTAGTTTATTTATTTGCAAAAACGTTGCTTTGTTAGGTTATGTTAATAAAAAAAATAGAAACTTGTTGCTGTTGTTAATGCGACACCTACAGAGGACGTTGCTGTCATTCTCACAATTTACGAGCTAATTTTGTGTATTGTGAATGATGATTTTTTCTTAATTTCTGCGTTAAGTGTAATTACTAATTGTAATTGCTAATTCTTGCATTGTGAATGAAGCTTAAGTCTTACTAATTTTGTTAATTTTAAAAGGTTCCCATATAAATATTGAAAAATTTGGTATATTTCACCTTCATGGTTTCGATTTACTTGTTCCAACGTACTTTTTATAGAGTTACTGTAAATGGTGAGAACTGAAGTTTTATTTCGAATTTCTGCTAGGTTTCCATTTATCTCTTCGTGATATTTTGCGAAATTTTTTGAATTTATAGTAATCTCTCTGATATTCTTATTTAGTCCGGAATGAACATGGTCTAGGTATTCTAAAATCTTCTGATGTTCAGACTGTAAGGAATCAACCTTTCGTTCAGTTGCTATTCCACAGCAGAACAAAAAGAAATCCCCGATAAAATCTAAACCTCTTCGTGCTCGCGTTGTTGGAATGATATCCGTTTTCTTGTTCATGAAATCACCCCAAAGTTCAGGCTCTAATGTATTCGCAAACATATTGAGATCTTTATCTAATAATTTCTCAAGACTTGCGATATGCTTCCCTACCTCGCACAGATGTTCGCTTGTATTACAGGCTGTGTGCCGTGGACTTTCCGTTTGGGTACTTCTTAAATTCCATTCCGTTTGGTAGGTAAAGGGAATAGTTGCTGAATAAGCTATTACTTCTGGTAGATTTTTCCAGTGTGCTCCCGTGATAATTTTCACAGGTACTCCATATACTTGTACTGACCAGATTAGGGCTGTTAGGATTCTAAAAAAAAATTACAATGCTGATATAGTTAAAAGTGCTATATTCCTGGTAAAAAAAATCATATTACTTAAGGATAAGAATAGAAGACGATAACTAATATTAAAATTTTAGTCCACATCACTGTCACTGTCCGAGGTGTAAACAGGTTTACTCGCGAGTTTTTCGGCTATGTATCTGCAGTTTTGTTCAGCGCATCTATCATCGCCATTCTGGTGTAGTTCGCAAGCTCCTGACGATTGATGTGGGATCCTTAGATCCATTTCGTATAAGTATATATTCCTGGTACCAATTTGCGTAGAAAGTCTGCCTTCTCACGGCCGGCGCAAGTAATTAGCGATCGTGATAATAATGCTCCCAATAAGTATGGTAAGTGTTCGTAGGCGGCGTCGCCTCGTTCCCATCTGAGCCCATGAAAGCGTTTGGTAAGCCACGCATTGGTTAACATATATTTCATTTCGATCTCTTCAAATTCATAAGGTGGCGCCAGGTGAATTTTTGTTATCTTTTTCCTTGGCGATGAATTCGTCTCCCTTTCCTCGCATCCCTTGGATGTCTACGATATGGGTTTTCCTGTTAAATTTCAAAACCTTAATAGATTCTATACCCTATTAACTAAGTATGCTACTTGGATGGAGCTACAGTCTTCGCCGCGGAAGGCCGATTTTCTTATGATGTATGACTTTCAGTAAAATTATGTCCTCCTTTTCGAGTGTTGCAGCGAAAGGGGTCCCCTGATGTGGGCCGCGCCTCCTTATTCACTTATTGTTTTGGTATCATTGTGGTTTTATCAGCGCCTTTTTGTTATTTTAAGTTCGCATGTACACGACACGTCTTTAGTTCTACTATAGTTTTGCGACGCGAGTAGAGATCAGCATGTAGTGATCGATTTCTACACCCTGGTCTTCTTTTGTCGTCGCTTTCACTGCGATTATTATGTCTATAACCGTTATGAATAACAATGTCGTCTTCCTCACTAACTCAGCACCTTCAGTGATGCTCTTTATTCCCCTGACAGCCTTATGGATGTGGGGATTCTTGTGTATGTATTCCGTAATCTGCACTAAGGATCACCAGTGCACGCGGCTGCTCACAGTTAATTTATATGTGAGAGTCGCGTACATCGCACCGTTTCATTTCTCTTAAATTTCTAGCGTCGGGTGATTATGTTACCGACATTGTTTCTTTAAGTTGTAATGCCTACACTTTGTAGTTGTTTTAATTGCTTGTAGATGTATTATTGGTGTACCGCTTCTTTTAGAGACTTTAATTTCAATACTTTTGCACAAAGGATTACCAGTGCACGAGACCACTCACAGTTTGTTTATATGTGAAAGTCTCGCGAACTGGCTGTTCTGGTGCACCTCTTCATCACAGCATTTAGTTTTAGCATTTTTTATAGCTTGTCATATTTTGTATTAATTTAGTTTAATCGCATGGCTTTATTCATTTGCATGATTCCTTTGAGACTACTTAAACGTTCGGGCGATCTCCTTTGGACCCGATCGAGAGTCGCATAATAAAGGCGAATCACGACCGTTTCCAAATCCATCGCTCGCTAACCCTTCATCGTTTCTACGTCTGGAGTCCAGGGGTCATGGTAATGTAGAATTCTAGAAACATGTATATCGACTTTAGAATTAGGTGCATTTCCCATTTTAACTAAATAATCTACGTCACCTTTTTTCCCTACAATTGTATACGGTCCGAACGACCGTAATAATAATTTTTCACTTCGTCCAACTTTTCTAAATGGAGTAAACACTTTAACAATATCTCCTATGTTAAAGGTAACTTCCCTGTGTTTCGAATCATACCTCCTTTTATCTTTCTTTTGTTTGGACTGAATATCTTCGACGGCTCGATGTCGAATCAGTAATGCTCTTTCTCTGATCGCTTTAACATCTTCCGATTGTATATCTTGCATTAGCATTGCTTCGGTAGGAAGTACTGGTTCCCTTGCGTATACTAAGAAGAATGGAGATAGTTTGGTAGTTTCTTGTCTAGACGTATTGTATGCGAAGGTAACTTGTGATAGGTATTGATCCCAGTCTGTTTGTTGTGTGTTGGTGTACAACGACAACACATCTGCTAAGGTTTTGTTAAATCGTTCTGTTAACCCATTAAATTGTGGATGGTAAGAAGTGCTGAAACAACTTCGTACGTCCATAATTTTCATGAGTTCGGTAACTAATTCAGATTGAAACGTTTTCCCTCTATCGCTCAGCAAAAATCGTAAACCCTGTTTCTTTGACCGCAATTTTTTCTTTGCCTCTAAAGACGATGTTATACCGCCAAAATATTTTTGAAATGATTGTGAGATATCATTCCATGTTTTATTTGCATTGTCCGCGTTTGCAATGAAATCTGTGTACCACGTATGCGCTACTCCTTCTAAAAAGTTGCCAAAATGGGCAATTTTATTCGCTTCACTCCAATGATTGAAATGAACGCATCTCTCGTATTTTTTCAAAAAGGTTACGCAATTTGATTCTCCCGGTACGAAAGAATCAGGTTGCGTGAATTTGGGAAATACCGGTGTGTTTAACTACTTGTTCGTTTCTGAATAATACGTTTTGTTGTAAATTATGTTCTGTTGGAATAGGGGTTTTTGCGCGTTTCGGTGAGGGTGCTAATATTACCGTATTTTCTGATAAAAATGATTGCTGCGTTGTAATAGGTGACCGTTGTATCCTATTTGTTGGTGTAAAAGTTTGTTCGTATGGTACTGTACTTTGTGGTTCCGCGGGTGGTATTGCACTTAATTCTGAAGCTACGTTTAGCTGCGCGCTTCGCGTATTATAAGTATGTTTCGGCGTACTTGCCGGCATTTAGTGGTTTTCATATCAGATATGCGAAAAAGAAAATTAATTTAAATGATATTGTATTTGTGTAAAAGTAATAGGATTAGAATGCCATTTGTAAATACATATAAGAACATGACTCCCCAAACTGCGTTTGCGGTGATCCCCAGGGCGACTTGAATCATCTGTTTTTTAGTTGTGTTAAGCGTGAGGCCAAAATTAGAAACCTATTAGAAAAGCTAAGTGAAAAAGGCGTAGCCTTTCCCACAAATATCACGACCTTACTACATAGCTGCCGTAAACCAATCTACGATGTCATCATTGATTATGTAAGAGCAATTAGACTAAAACTGTAATTTTATGTGCGTCCATAGTATTAATTGTAACCGTTACATTCATCTGTGTCCAACTGTCCATATCCTTACATGTATTTGAACCTTCCGTGGCCATCCTATGTGTGGTACAAAGTCACACTGATCGGCCCCTGTGCGTGAAATGTTAAAACCACTGTCGATCCCTAGTTTGAGGTAACTACATCGTAGGCAAAATGGGCATGACCCCGAAAAGCCTTTATATAATAAAAAAAAAAATACCAAGCATAGGCAGTTGTCAATGTACATGGCAGTTTTTTGCTTTTTATGGTTTTTTGAAATTAGTTGCTGTGTAAGGACAGCCATTTAGAAAGCTGGCGCCTCCACCATATGTCACACTAGGGGGTTTGGTAGCTCTGGTTTTAGCACTCAGCATAGCCAGAGGTGTGTGACTTTCAACCGAAATCAATAAGTCATGTTAAGATGTAGTTATTGAATTATTTATTTAAACATAAAAAAAATGTACTTACATGTAATCGGTCATTGTATAACCACTGTCTACTAACTGTCTCACTACTGACTCCCTTGAAGAGACTTGGATCGTCTATTTATTGGTGCCCGCCACCGCAATTAGGTCGGAAATCTCACGCCCCTGTTCAATGGAAATTCTTACATCCAGGACTTTAATTAACCGCAACCTTTGTATGGGTTGTGAGAAATCGGAACTAACGCAA